AAAAATCAAAGTATATTTCCCATAGTTAGATATCGCTAAATTAATAAGGACAAGATTATTATTAAATTTTTGCATAATAAAATAAAATAAGCTCATATTTAATCTTTGAACACAAGAAAAGTATGAAAAATGTAATTTAAAAAAGAAAAGAAAACAAGGAAGGGAAGTACAATTAAAAGTTTACATTAAAATTTGTAAGAAAACATTTTCATTACAAATTATAAGGTTTACGTTTAAAATCGTATTTTATTCATGATTATGTTATAATTAATTACAATATTTTTTATTGATTAAAACAAGATTTATGCTAACAATAAATTGTTTATTGTAGTTTTAACTGCACAAAACAAACAAAAAATTTAATATCATACGTATAATCAAAATAATCAATTTGGTAGAAAACTATTGTTAAAATTTAATTATCATGAATGCTTATATTCTTATAGTTATCTTTACCATCCAATGAGATAGTTATCTTTACCATTCAATGAGAGAGGTAAATATTTAATGTCAGTGAAACATAATACGTCCGTCCCATTGTTCAGTCAAATATACAGTCAGGTACAAGAATTCCTTGAAGGAAAACATTCTTATGTTACTGGTTTCCTATAGACGCATCTGCTTTTATTTCTGCACCTTTGCTGTCTTTCTATCTGTAAACGTGCATTCTAGGCTTCTCTTGATGTTAAACAGGTGAAGTTTATGTACTCGATGATGGCGGAGAGGTGGATCTGGATTTGGGTAATTACGAACGCTTCCTGGACATCACTCTTCATAGAGACAATAACATAACAACTGGAAAAATTTATCAATATGTCATTACGAAGGAGAGACGGGGAGATTACTTAGGAAAAACAGTACAAGGTTGCGAGTCTATTTATATAATATTATATTGCAGATGTCTGTCATACATTGAGTTATATAAGTTAATAAAAAAAGAATATCTTGTTTTTTAGTGGTGCCCCATATTACAGATGCTATTCAGGAATGGGTAGAGAGAGTCGCAAATCAATCTGTAACAGAAGATGGAACTAAACCAGAGGTATTGTTAATTTGTGAATTTTTATTATTATGTCCAGTTAGATAATTTCCCAAAATGTACAAATATACATTTAAATAATAGATATTTTTTGAATAATATTTTATGTATAAATTTATAATATAATTATTTTAATTGTATATTAATAATCCTTTATAGGTTTGCATATTGGAATTGGGAGGCACAATAGGGGATATAGAGGGAATGCCATT